GGATGGATGGATGGATGGATGGATGGATGGATGGATGGATGGATGGATGGATGGATGGATGGATGGATGGATGGATGGATGGATGGAAACAGTTTATTATACATAATACCCTTGTTTTGATCTTGTGTTATCTGTATGTGTTTGCTCATTCAGTGTCTGCAGCTACTATTTTTTATTATTTATATCTTAGCAAACAGTGATAAATGTGTTATTAGTTTAACTGGCTTGCTAAAGAAAAAAGAAATCTAAAAAATAATGACTGTAGCTGAAACAGCGGATTCATAAATTTTCATTTCAGAGTTGTCTGAGCTTTCATTCCCATGTCGTTGTCTCAAAGTAGAACAAGCAGGGTAAACATAATCAGTTTCCTGCTGTCATAACATGTGCATTGCACTATCCTTGAAAAAAAATGAGAACCAGCCAAAACGTAACTTGAACCTACACTGGCGCTAGATTACTTTTCTGAATACATGTTTGAATTGTTTATTATTAAATTACATTTGCTGACTGATGCAAAACAGAGTGAGTCTTACAAGCTATGTTAATGTGTAAAATGAATGTCACAGAATACAGTCCATAAATGGACAACATCATTGGCCTTTTTTATGTTCTTCCATTCTTCAATCTTCCAATTCTTCTTCTTCTTGCAGGGCTGTGGGGGGAGGGGGTGTTGATTATCTCCAGTGGTCACTGGGCAATAGCTGATTTTCACCCTGGACAGGTTGCTTTCCACCTCAGGCTTTATATAAACTATCCAACATTTGTCTTCAACTAGGGCTGATAAGAGGGCCACAAATTGAGCTGAGCTGAGCTGTACAGCAGAAATTCAGAAAGTGGAATCTTTTTTCTTTTTTTTTCTTTTTTTTTTTTTTTTTTACAATTTTTGGATCATGATGACTGGGAATGAGCTATGAGCATTGAATAAATATGGAATGGTAAACCGGAGGGGGAAAAAAATCAAATATTAAAGTGCTGGCAGAAATATTGCTTTAGATATTTCATCACAGGGCAAGTCTGTTTACTTTAAAAAAAAATGTTGGCACTTCTTCAGGTTCATCTGGTTGGTTTTAGATGAGCTGGTGTTCTGAGCAACTTTTTAAATGTGAACAAGTTTTCTATTCTAAAAAAATATATAGTGACACTTTAGATTCTTTTTCCAAATGTAATGATTTCAAAGCTTGTTTTTAAAAATATATGGTTAAAAAATACCACTTGATAATCACTTGAAAGAATTTTTTGTTGCTTATTTTACTGGTTGCTTGGAGGAAGAGAAGAATATAAAAGATTAAAGAATTCTTAATTGTTTACTTTAATTTGTTCATACAACTACAAATATACTACCTAATGTTCTATATAAAAATAATGTAAAACTATACAGTATTTGTCTTTCGTTGTAATGTTGAAAATGTAGACGAATACAAGAGGTTTAAAACAAATGGTAGTTCATCCAACTTCATTTTAATTTCACAACATTGACATTGTTTTAAAAAAATGACAAGACGTTTCTCTATCGGGGTGGAATTAGCTTTGCGAGGGTAATAGTGAAATTATTAGTTTTTGATTGTGCTGGTTTAGAGTTTTGACAACCAAAGACAGAACTGAAGCAGAAAATTTTAACTTTCTTGTTAGAAAATCTTGAATTTTAATTTCAAATGTCATAGATCTATTTTTCTGCTTGCTCTTCTTTTCTTTCAGTGTTGTAGAAAACAGTACAGTGTTTTTCCTTGTAATTTCACAAAAGCGGCCACTGGTTGTGTTTTGTGTGTGTGTGTGTGTGTGTGTGTGCAGTATTTAGTTGTATGATCTTTTAGTTAGAGAATATATCAGAAGGAACTGAAATGAAAATTTTTTTCTCTTTCTTTTTCTTTTCAGAGTACTTAGTAAGCATATTTCTGCTTTACTGCACAATAATGTCCAGTCATCTGGAGTGAGGAGAGGGACAAGGAGGAGAGGAAACCATGTCGCTTGGATCTAAATCCAGCCAATCTCCTGTTACTTAAAGACTATACTTTTGTGGAGATTTCCAACCTGATATGGGAGGCAAATTATACAGTATTTTTACCTTTTATGTAGCAATTAGAAAGATTTTTTCATCCATCCTTTTTATAATTTAATAGCTGCTCCAGAGCTATCACTAAACATCATCCTAACAGCCAATGAGAGACTCAAAGGCCCAGCTGGATCCTGTCATTTGTTTGTCAAATAATCAAAGACACGTCCAATCTCCAGCTAATGGATTGTCAGCAAGAGATCCAGGAAAGATTAAAGTACAACGTCCTGGATGGAATCCAAACAACTCAGAAAAGGATCAAAAAAAGGAAATGACAGATTTCTCAGGAACAAAAACATTCTCCCCAGAGCTTTCCTACAGGGTGTGCATCCATCATGAGTTACCCCTAAGGTCTTGGAGCTCTGCTGTATTTCTGGACAAGTCACTTTGCATTTCACTTGCAGAACTTGCTGCAGGAGTGAGAAGAGTTCAAGTACCTCTGTACAGATCTGCCCTTACTTGTCAGCTTGGTGTGCAATCTCTCTGCAGATCCACTACAGATAAGAAACCAGCCAAAACAAGCGAGGTTTACAGGAGAGGTAACTTCAGCAGGTGCAATGTCCAAAAGATGAGACTGGATCACACAGGGAGCCCTTTTTCAAAGCACTGTGGACCCAGGGAAGATCAAAAGGCACTTGCTTGTGGTGTTAACAGTAAGGATGATGACTGGGAAAAGCAGAGCCACAGCACTTCTTTGTCATTCAGAGAACCTTCTTCCTTCAACACAAAGGCTGCAAAGCAGAAGGGGAATGCAAATGAGGCAGCCGTCTCTGCTCAAAGTAATTCCAGGCACAGGAAGCACACTATCACTGTTAGACCAGGTATGAAATGTAACCACCTTCAATGGAAAATCCAAAGATCAGTAAATATATATTTCCCCCGCTTGAATATCCTAAATGAAACTTCAAGGCATAACAGGAATTGTATTTATGCACTAAGCTGGTCTTAGAGTATTGTTATTCTCTCTGTTTCTTTTCTTTTTGGCTCTAACCTCTTACTTTCTTATCTCATGCATTGTTAATAGACCCCCCCACACACACTTTTTACATTATTTCCACTGTCTTTTAATACTGTTTAAAATAAATCCCAGTTGGCAGAAGAACATGCTCTGCTCAAACATCCTTCAATCAAGAGCAAGCAAAACTCCTTTATCCACCTCAACTTACAATAAAAGAAAAAAGGATAAGATGACTGCTGCATCGGGAAAACATTGTAATATTTTACAATAGATTTGAAGGGATTTTTGTTGAGAGTACAAAGAGAATGCTACAATCTTCCTGTAGCTAGGGTGCAACTGTTGCGTGTTTATCACAATATAGCCAAAGGCAACTTTGCATTTTAAAATGTATATGTGCAAAAAATGTGTATGAACAAAGCTAAAGTCATGTTTTTCTCAAATAAGACATGAAAAACAAAAGATAAAGTATTACCGGAACAACTTGAAGAAAAAAGTAAATTATTTTCTTTTATTTTTTTCCATATTGGAATTCCTAACCTGCTTATAACTACAGTATTTATAAGATTAGCTGAAACAGGATTTGGAACATACCACGTCTGCACATACCTCACCACTGAGCTTTTGTTTCATTTCAAAGTTGAATCAAAAGTAATAGAATATTCTCAGAGCAAACCAACCTTAATAAATCACAAAATCTGTTTGTATCTAAATATATATATTTTAAGAATACCATTCAGACCCCAAAAAACACCATTTAATGTATGTTTATTGAGAACACCAATAATATATCTTAATACACCAACTTCGAAATTTGGCAATATGTTCAATTAAGCTCTATCCTAAAAGGGTAAGGTAAATGATTTTGTAAGAAAAAAAAACTGTTTTCATTTTGACAAAGTTAACATACAATCAAAAGTATAGAATTGTTGACAGGATGTTTTATGTGTAATTAGCTTAAAACTTGAGATTAAAGGTCAAAAAACAAATTTAAAATATTTTAACTTTTAGAAATGTCTTTTTATGTTGGAATTCTGCCCTTTTTTAACTTGGCATCAGAACAAAGCAGTAGGTATAGAAGAAGATAACTAAGAGTGCAAAGTCGATTTTTTTTTTTTATCTGATCTAATATTAAATATAATGGACTATATAATGGAGTATAACCTTTTTTTAATGAAAAACCTGCCTATATTAATGGAAAAAGTTGCTGCCAAAAGGACCTGGAGTTTCTTATTTACTCATAAAAGAGCATCCACAAAATATTTTAATTATTAAACTGCCTCACCTTTGTGTTGGTAGTTTAAGCTTTTTTCAATTTCACTGGACCTAGTCTGGCAGTAAATATATCCTATAAGAAGAACTTGACCAGTGACATTATATGACATTGATGCAGTACCATTAAAAGATGAGTGATAGCTGTAGCATATTCAGCTGAGAGATGTGTTCTCAAAAGAGACATGAATGAGGTTAGGAGAGCAGATTAGATGCACTGCCATCGTTTACATTATTCATAGGCCACACTGGAGTTCCTGCTGTTTTATTCCTTCTTATGAGTTGCTAGGGTTTTGTGTGCATGTTTGTGTATGTAACTTGTTTTTATCACAGTGTGGAGACTTGAATCTGTTTAAACAGTCAAATCATTGTGTCCTATGTCCTTATGGGGACCAAAAACCTGGTCCCCTTGTGTGTTTGGGTGTGTGTGTCTCTGAAAGCATTAGATTGCACTTGGTTCAGTATAAATTCTGTTCCTTGGTGTCTTCAAAATTATAAAAGCTTTACTATAGAAGCTCAAGACCCCTTTGAAAATAGTGAGTATAAACAAGAGAGATGGTAAAGCAACATCAAAGAACTGTTTTTAGAAAGTTCTGAATGAATCACTTCATTTCAGAATTAGAATTGGCTTTATTTGCCATGTTTGTGTACACATACAAAATTTAATACTGGTTTGTACCACACCCAAGATATGCTTTATATAATAACAAAATATAAAAAAAACGACAAATAAGACAATAAGAATTTATCCAAAGCATAAACAAAATTGGCAGATTAAAACAATAGAACTAGTGCGATTAAAATTATTCAATATTGAATAAATAGGTCGTAACCAGTAAACAGAAACTGAATAGAGATAGAGATACTGGGTCAATGCATAGAATATGTTCCTGTCACTGTGAGTCAGCGCTTCATTTCACAAACTTAAGGGTTTTTTTCGTTTGTTTTTTTGTGGGATTCTCAGTATAAAGATATATTTATATTTATATTACAAGTTTTAAATGATACAATTTAAGCTATTTCTTTGTGTCTTGAGTAGATTCAGAGATGATGAGCAAGCGGGGAGGTCAAAAGGCAGAAGAAGACCAGGAAGGTAGCAAATCCATTGAAGCTCAGACAATTTCCACTTGTCATCACCACTCACAGCTGCAGAATGATACCGTGGGAGGCACTCCTAAAACTCTGAGCCTGAAAGTATGAGTCACATTTTTATACTTTTTTAAAAGAAATCTCCTTTAAACAAGTAAAATCTAAAGTTTTAGAGGAAGGTAAGCAAACTGTCAGCATTTTAAAATACAAAAATGGAATTCAAAAGGCTTTTTGACAGAATTTGACTTTTCAACAGGATGGGGGATTTTACCTAAGCTAACACATCTTTTCTGAAGATGTAATTTAAAAAGATAAAAAAGCTTAAACACGTAAATGCAAAACTTACATTGCAAAAAAAAAAATAAAAAATACAGATTGGCTGACTTATGTGTTTTCTCTACTTTGTTTTCCAGCTAAATAAAAACTGGGACATTGTGACTGTATTGGCAGGACAGTTCCAACGTTTTTTGTTTTACATAGTTCAGATCAAGCTCAACATAGAATAAAATAGAATAGAATAGAATAGAATAGAATAGAATAGAATAGAATAGAATAGAATAGAATAGAATAGAATAGAAAATCACTTTATTTTCCCACAATGGGGAAATTGTGGTGTTACAGCAGCAAAAGGTTATAGCAGAAGTGCTCACAAAATGTGGACCTTAGAAAAGTGTAACATTTATACCTATGTTTGTACAAATGTATGTGTAAAAATACATAGTTTTAGTGTAATAATATATCCTTCTTACACTGTCCATCCCTTAAAAGTTAATTTCACACATGCTGATCTCTTCCCCAGGAGGCTTTGGAGCTCTTCAGGCCAGATTTCATCAGCCGATCTCAGGGTCGGGTGAGGAGGTTAGAGCAAAGGGCCAGGAGAAGGAGGGCTCTGAGGGACTCCAATCCAGATCTACTGAAGGCCCTATATGAAGACAGAGACAAGTACAAGAGGAACTGTACAACACCAGATCCACTTAGTGGTAAGTAGCAGCCAGAAAAAAAGAGAAGTAAGCCATTAAGAATAATGTTATGTGACTCATAACATCCACTGGTAAATAGTCTCAGTTTTTGTCAGACCTGCAGTGTTGACAGAAGCGTTCAATCAACCACTGATCATATGACAAAGGATCCTAGAACTTTCTGGTATAAATAAACAAGAACATGTGTTGCATTAGTCCCGGTGACAGCAGAAAGTAAATGACTATGAAACATATTCAGAGCAGATGGTTTCTTTCTCTCTCCTACATCCATATTTTATCATGTTATATCACTTTTGCAGGTTCAGGCACATTTATCAAATCTGTGGACGACTAGGCACAGGGCTGCTCCTTCAGCAGTTGTCGATTTCTAAAGACAAACAGACACCATAACAAATTAATAACAAACATGAAGATGCCAGCTTTTTTTCTTTCCAAGAAACAATGCAGTTTCCTAAACGTTAATTTAATTTTCAGTGCCTCTGCTTTTTATCAAATGAGAAAAAAAGGGATTTTGACATGTCATTTCTCTTTTAATAAAGAAACATTTCACTGACTTTGCTCTCTGGTGGCCATCACGCAGTACTACAGAGAAGTAAAAACTTGTAGAGATGCAGGTTGGCAAAGAAACTGAGAAAAAGAAAATTAAAACTCACACTTGCCTAATATAACTAATAAAATAAAACATAAAAGACTGTCTAGGTGACTCTATGCACACATTTGAGAAGAAGGTACAACTTGTATGTTTTCCTCATCTAAAAAAGCACACATTATTAGTAATTTAATCACTTTCAGTGTTTTTATTTCTATTCCTTTGGATTATTTTGTGACCATGTTTCAAAAAGTGCTTTAAACCTAAATTCTATTTATTTATTTCTATGCTAAAACTGAATCAGACTAATTTAGGAAAAATATCCAGCAGTGACTAGATCAGTATTTACAATAAGGACCGTTCTCCACTATTGTTAATGTATAATATATATAAATGTATAATATATATAAATGTAATAATTTTATTCAAGTTCAACTGCATTAAAAATGTATTTTCAAGATTTTTAATCCAATTATAAGCAGCCAAAATATATAAATAAATAGTAAATATAAATTCTAAATATACAAACATTTAGCATATATTTCTGCATATCATAATCTCGTACAGCAAATTTATGGACAACAAATCCTTTTGTTAAATTATGCGAAATAAATCTTTTCAACAAATACATTATTTTTAATTCAAAATCAAAGTTATACATTTCTGCAAAGTAACAGTCACAAAAAAATGTTTTCCTGAAGAATAGATATTGTCTAATATGTAAGCCCATTTATTTATCACTTCAAAGCAGCATAACCATCAGAGATGAGGTTAGATTATATTTTCCTCCATGTCAAAGTTGCTATTCTATAAAGAAAAAAAAAAAAACTATGTTGGATATATATGATGAATACCATATTTGGTCAATTAAGCCAAATGGTTTAAACAAAAACTCTCAGGTAATAAGTTTGAATACCACGAGAGCCTAAAAAATTAACTGAAGCAACTTAAAGTTGAGCACATGAGTATAATCCAATTTTCATCAAAATGTCAATACTCATTTTGTCTAAAGTTCAAAGTACATTTAAATGTAATGTTAGAATATATTTGTATTTAAGACAACAGTCGGTTGTTGTTATTAAGGGTAAAATATATATATTTTACAGTAGCGAACTATCACAAGTCAATTACCTAACATGTATTAACTCAACTGAGAAAGGTCTGTCATTCATCTCAGAAAATATATCAGATATTCAGGACCATTTCTTTAAAGGTTTTTGAAATGAAGCATTTGGTTAAATTTGAGTGATCCAGCAAAATATTATGATGTTTTGGCTTTAAAAGAAATGCAAGTATCAAACTTTGCATTGACTACTTTTACACCCCAGTTTGGAAAATATAGGTCTCTGAACCTTCTTTCTGCTTGATTATTTAGTTAAATAGCGATTATAGTACTAAATTTAATATAATCTAATGGATTCAGCTTAGTAGTAAATTTCATGAAGGAGAAATAAAGTGCTCTCCAATGTCAGAAGTAACAATGCACTAATGCTTTTTACTTTACTTCAGTCTGACAGAGATAATTAAAAGGACCAGGACTGGCTTTGTCAGTACAAAGGATGAGATTCAGATTCTCCCTGTTTGCTTTTCTATGTTGGTGTGTTATTGGTGGACAGTGTTATATTTCAGAATATAAAGCTCATTCATTAGTGTTTATTTACATATGTAAGCTTAATTTCCATATTAATTCCTCTTTGTTATTCCGGCAGGCTTTTCTAACTGAGTGCTTGTGTGTGTGTTCTAGATAACCTTTTTAAGCCAAGGGAGAGGTCTATATCAGGCAGAGAGATGCATCTGAGGTCCAGACGGTGAGTTTTTTTAAACTAACTCCCTCAAAGACTGTCTTGTTTTTACAATACATTTAAACACATCAATTGTTCCTTTCAGCTATAGTACAGATACACAAAACACATACACATCCACATACTGTTGCCACCCATCAAATATTTGATCCTTAAATGTCTTAGTAGAAGATATGAGGTAACCTCTATATCTTATCTCCATTTTTTTTTCTCTCTCTCTGCTTATCTGGTAAGGCACACCTGATCAGGTGAAGGCCTCCCATTGTAAAGGTTTTTTTTTTGTTTGTTTGTTTAGGGCTTTTTTTTTTCAAAGGCAATACTATCTGACTTAAAGAATCTCCTAACAAATTGGCAGTATTTGTGCAAGTGAGAAAGGGGAGTGCGTGTTTGCACCCTGTTTATCAGTTTTTTTTAATTTTTTATCCAGGCTGTGGTCTTACTTGATAAAACCTTGTCTCCAGAATCCCAGTCTGTTGGCACTGCTCAGCCACTGTTAGACTTCTGATACCATTTTCCTCTACCCTGTATGAATTTTCTTCTTTACGTCTGAAGGATTTACAACAAGCTGCCGGAGGTGACAAAGAAGAAGGAGGAGGAGAAAAAGAGGGCCATATCTCAAACCAACAGACTGCGAGCAGAGGTCTTCAAAAAGGTAAATGGATCAATCTAAAAGTCTCATTCCTTTGGAGGTTTCAGCATGAGACTCATCAGCTGTAAATTCAATGATTGTTTAAAACCAGTCTGACAAAAATAAAAGTTAAATTATAATTACACGGCAGTATATATTATTTGACAAAAACAGAGCCAATCTTTAGTTGGTATACGTATCACGAGCATGGATCTAAATTATCTTTTATCTGTTAATAACCTTTGACTTTGAAAACATTTGCTACAAACATCCTGCTTGTACTGTGGTGAGATTAAGCTAAAAATAGTTTCAACTTTTTAAGCAAGAGCTGGATATACGTACAAGCTGGAACTTGTTGCTGAGGTTTTTTTTTTATTATTAATTCACACATAGAAGATTGGAGGCACGTGGTTTGTTCCACAGACTTCCATTTTGGGTCCTTGAACAAGACTCCATGCTCCATCCCATGCAAGGTACAAGGCAAGCCAACTCCTCCTAAAGCATGGGTTATGGTAAATGGTAAAGTCAGGGGACTTGACCAAAGCACTCACTCATTTACACACACACACACACACACACACACACACACACACACACACACACACACACACACACGCACACTGATGGTGGCAAACTACATTGTGGCCACAGCTGCCTTGGGTCTGACAGAAGCAAGGCAGCCATACACTGGTGCCACCAATCCCTCTGACCACCATCAGTAGGCAATGCGGGTGAAGTGTCTTGCCCAAGGACACTTCATTGAAAGTCGGAACCGGGGCTTTTACCGACAAGAAACTCCTGATTTAAAGTAGTGCAAATAAAGTTTTTTTTTAGAGATATGTTATTCCAGTCTTTTCTCTACATTATAATTGTATAGGCATCTTCAATTTAGAAGATTCAGTGGTTGCGTTGCAGAACCATCCATCCATCGATCCATTTTCTTTACATGCTTAATCCCAAGTGGGGTCACGAGGGATGCTGGTGCCTCCAGCTTTCCATGGGCGAGAGGCGGGGTACACCCTGGACAGGTCGCTAGTCCATCGCAGGACACTTTGCAGAACCAACCTTGGGTTATTACCCAACTGTACATAAAGATGATTTCATAATTTTCAAAGTGATTTTTAAGTTTTGTTTTTTGCAATAAAATTAAAGTTCAGCTTATTTTTATTTTTGTTAACCCAGACAATTTAATGAAACACTGTGTACTTATGTTTTCTTAGAAAAAAATGTTATGTGATTTTTCTGTTATCAGAATGATGTCCAAACCTCTTGAGATAGAATAGAGGAAAAGAAGTAGTGCAATACAAATAGGCATAGTTTGTAGCACATTTGCATTTAAATTCCTCGGTTAGGGTCTTTTTCCATGCAGTTTGCATGTTCTCCTGTTCCATGCATGGGTTCTACCTGGGTACAGCTGAGTACAACTTCCTCCTACATTTCAAAAGCAGGACTGTTAGATCAGGTTGATTGTTGTCTCTAAATTTCCCTTAAGTGCGTGTATGTGTGTGTGTATTGTTGCACATCTTTGTGTTGCCTTGTGATGGGCTGGTGACCTGTCCTTTTGGCCAAAGACTGCTAGTCATTAATTAGATATTATTTTAAAGCTTTTTAACAGTTTTTAATCATTTTCACAAAAAATGTCATAGTAGTTTTACATGTCATAGATCTAAAATTAGAGGAAGGGAGCCCCGTTAAATGTAAGACTTCACCTATTAAATAATTCTACCAAGTAAAAAGGAAAGTACCAACTAGTAATGGTACCTCTTTGTTGGATTTGTTGACATTTTTAACTAAATACTACAAAGTAACTGGTTATTGGGTGAAAAATGACAATATGACAGCAGGATATTGTCCTGTTCAACAAATGAAACCAAAACAAAGCAGTTTTTATAAATTTCACCGGTTGAGATGCAGGGTTAATATATGAGAGAATGAGATAAACTGTGATTTTTTTTTATGACTTCTTATGAATTAATACATTCATTTTTAAGGGAAAAGTACATTTTTATTTCATCCAGCAGAGGTCAGTCTTAAACAATTTACACCTTGTGTTTCTGGTTTTCAGTTTCTCTGAACTATCATCCAAATATTTATTATTATTGGGAAAGTTTTTTCTTATTTAATAGTCAAAAAGATCAACATCTTCCTTTTTTTAAATATATTGTATTCCTTAACTTGTGACATCAGATAATAATCAAAGTGTTGCCTGTGCTCTTACTTTCAGCACTATACACCATTACTGTATAATTCAGCACCAGAATGAAGCACATTTTTCTGCTTTCTCGGATAGATGGGGAGAACTTGGGAAATAAATGATGTATTTAGGACATGCATTGTCAGACAGACCCACGCATGTTCACCTGTGGGTGAACTATCTCTATCTTTCCTGTAAAACCTGACAATTAATTCTCTGTCAACTGGAGAAGAATTCTGTGAATTTTTTCTGAATCGTTTCTATGACTGACTATTTTACTCTGAGGCTATTTTTACCGAAGGCCAAAGAACAATCTTTAAGGAAAATATCAAATCCACGGTAAACCAGAGTTTTGCTTCACTGACACAGCTGGCAAGTCTGCGCTCTGCTGAAGAATAGTACATTTCTTGGTGGAATTTTGCAGCTATGATGCCAGTGTGACCTCACCACCTATAAAATGAAGCCATTAGTTGGGCCCTACCACAGAGTCTGGGAGAAAAAGAATGACTTTCTTCTGAACAAACGCTGTGTGATTTGAAGGCCTCATTTTTATCTCACACAGAGGGGAAGCCCAGCAGAGACTCACAGCCAGGGTCTGATAGCACATAGTAGTGGGTGGGTGGTGTTGAATGCTGTCTGAAATGAGATTCCAGCTGTTGGGTAGTACATTTGTAGGAGAGTGATTGCACAGAAGTCAGATAGCAGACTTATTCCCTTTACCTATAGGCCTGGCCATCTAGGAGTGGGGAGTTGATGAGTGTGAAAGCCATTAAGCAGTGGTAGCTGACAGTGTGGTGCTGAGCTGCTGCTAAGAGACCGAGAAAGGGAAAGAGTGGGTACTGATGAATGGGTTTGGATCAGTCTATTGAAGGGTCAGATCAGTAATATTTGTGTTTTTCTTGTCTTACAGAGACTTCTGGAACAGATTCTGCAAAGATGAAAGCGACACCATCAGAAACCACCTTGTAATAAAAACTGCCTCCATGTGCATTCCACTCTTGGGTTATGTCTCCTAACTTTCCACTCTTTATATTGTTATAAACAGTGAAACTTGATTTTTTTTTTCTCATGTTGTTCCCAAATTCTCTCTTTCCAGTTAGAGACTGCCATGGTGTGAAAAGTATATCTGCTTCTCATATCTGTATACAAAGGTGAAAGGTTAAAAAAAAAAATCTACAGTAGTTAGTGTACTTTGGGAAGTGGACCACTGGAGGTACTCTGACTATAAACCAAATTAATGCTGTTATATTTACCGTGTTAGTGAGCTCCAGTCTATAAAGAGCACAGTGACGATGTGTGTTTCCTTTAGGCTATTTCTAAATACAGGAAGAATTCATCAATACTATCTATATTTAAAAATGACACTGAATAGGTAGCTTAAAAAGAAAAATTATTGTTTAACTTTTAATATATTTTAATATTTTTGCACAGTTATGAATAACTGTAGCTTTTCTATTATACATAACAGTAGCTCTGACTGACACTTTGATCATGTCCTACGTTGTAGTTTAAATATTTGTTTTATTGCTATAATACAATGAAACCAAAACTTTTTAACACAAGGTTATCCTAGCATACAGTCTAAAGTTTTTTTTTCTTCAAAAAATGTCTGGCACAGTTTGATAGATGCCAACTGAAAACAAATACTAACTAAAACAATTCCTGTGAAATGGCTGCAACAGAAAAAGAGCTTTAAAAGAAGATAAAATCTAACCATATATCATAGTTTAATTCTTAATATAAAGGCATTTTAAACAGCAACAGTAAATGTGCAACTATAATACAGAATTAAGGCTTTGATTTGAAAATATTTATTAAATGGTATATTACCAAAGTGGATCATCACAAAAGTGTGTCTACAATTAAACTATTAACACATGATGAGGTAAATACTTGTTTTTAATGTTAAATTATCAAATCTAGTAACACCATCTGCAGGTAATTTAATTAGTGTTTCAAGTTATTTTTAATCCGTTTTATGGTTTCAAAAAGTGATTTGCTGCAGGTAAAAATATTCTCCGAGCTGAGCAACCTCACGTACTTTTTGGGACAGTTTTGTCCTTGCAGCGAGGGAGCAAGACCATGTTTCAGTATTGGCTTCACGTCTGCCTCAAGGCCACTGAAATCCCCGATCTGGAACGGTAGAGTTTCAAGCTAATCAAACTCATGAGACACATGGTGCCTGTGAAAAAAGGTCCTCTGTCATGGAGCCCCAAACCAGAGATGACTAAATTATAACAGAGGAGGCTCCTAAAGTGCAGCCACGGACCTTTTTATGCATATAGTCTGTAAAGGTGACAGAGAAGTCTCTGGCATTTTAAATACAGTAGCACAAGCTGGGACAAGGCAAGAGTTAACAAAGAAAACCTTTAAACATCCAACTTTGAATGTGTATGTATGTGAATCACATACAGCATTTACAGCATGTGAATAATACTCAATAAATAAATCTGTATTACACAAAAACTTTTTTTCCTAAGGATATTTATTGATAATGTTTAGGTACTGCAAAGAATATTTTCTGTTTACATCTCCCCTGCCTGTGTTACTAAGAAATCTTTTAGGAATGACTCCACATTGGATAGCAATTTTCCTGCTGCCATGTCGGCAGGTTTCAGAAGTTGAGCACTAACTGACATGAGCTATATTTGAGGAGACAGGCTATTGTCAGTCAACTTCTCTCTCTCTGAGGAATCATGTGTCTGGATGTCACATTAATGTCTCTGCATAATGTGGACTCTGCCCTTAGGTCCCTCCACAGGCTAGAATGACTCAGCTACCCTCAGGTTATCTCGCTGTGGAAGCTTTTAAAAAGAAGATAAAATTGGCAAAAAGACCGAAACATCCAAACACTGAGCCTCAGCTTTCTTGATTTATGGCAAATAAATTGAATATTTTCTAAGAAAGCTTTCAGTGAATGAAAAGTTCAGTTTAAAGTTTGCCATGAGCTATATTGGGAAGAAACGTGAGCAAGATCGGAACATTCCTGTCCAATCTTCGGATTAAAAAAACTCCATCACATTAGGTAAACTCTTACTAAACAACTCTTTGGACATAGCAATGCTCCAAAGCAGCTATAAACCTGTTTGTTTTAAGGCATATGTGTGTGTTAGAATGCCCCAGTTAAAGCAAATACCTAAATATGATTGAAAAAATATGGAAAGTCCTGAAGAGATCACAAACAACATCCAATTTGGCTGAAATTGACTGAGAAATGGAGGCTGCAGAGGGACATCTGTGGCTCCTTATATTTGCCCCTTAGTGTACAAATTAAGTAAGATTAAGCTGAACCATTTCAGTTAGCAAACATAAGACATAGATGAGATCTAAATAAAGAGAACATCCCTAAAAACCTCCCTGGAGGCTATACAGTGACACAATTGACACAATTCACATAACTATAGTTCTGTTAGTTTTTTCTAACAAAAAGTTAAAGAGGTAATTGGAGGAAAAATCTCTCGCTGCAGAAAAACACTTATGTAATACATCACTTTAGGGAGTTTGATTTCATTCTATACAAGCTATTCCAATATTTAATTGAAAAATACTTCTGAAACAGTAGCAATTGCAAATGTCTTCCTAATTATTTTATTGATTTATTATTGATACTTGAAAACCTGTCCATTAAACTGGAATGGGAGAGTTTATGAACCAGTCGTTTCTACATTGGACTTGTAAGATAAAACACTAGAAAGGAGTTTGGGAACAACATGAAACAAAGGGTCTATATCCTTGTTGATTCATGTGTAAAAACAATTATCATTAGCACATTAAGAAATGCCCTCCCTTTATTTCATATCTAATTGTCTTCCATCCATGGTTTAAAAAAAAAACCCAGATGTGTCTCTGTAATATGTTCCATTAGGACTTTAGCTGAAATAATAGCAACAAGCATTAAATCTGTATCTCCAAATCTCATTACTTCTACCCATCCATTGTCTATACCCACTTTCCATTAACAGATCACAAGCTTTTCTCGGAAAACTGGATTTATGACATCAAAGCCCCTGAGACGATGAGATAAACTGCACTAGTCTAATTTCTTAATGTACTTTTTCTTAATACGTATATATGAACATCTGTTGTTTCAGTGCAACATGTCAACAATAAAGTTGAAAATATTTTAGACATGTTAGATTGTTGGGTCGCTGTTTAATATCGACAAATAAATTCTTTATTACGACAATGATTTCAAAAGAGGAAAATATATATATTTTTTTTGCATGGTTTGATTAATCGCAAATTATTTACACATGTCCACAACAGTGAGATTTTTAACCATGTGCTCTAGATAATAGTTTTTGACTATTTTTAGTCCATGGAAGAATTCTCTTAATCATTAAAGACAGTCCTTAGGATTAAATATGGTACCTTTCAGACATGCAGTCATTTTTGTCTTGTTACACTCACAAACGTCATTTTGTTGGAGGTTTGTGCCACAAAATAACAGAGGATAGCAAATAATCACCAACTAGATCTGAAAAATGTACATCTGTATTCTTGACTCAATATTTTGTGCAACTACTTGTGGCTGTGACTTAAACAACTTGCTTTGCACATCTAGAAATGTTCCATGTAAATTTGTTTTATCGCACTTATATTGAGGTATTGTTTTTTTTCTCTCTTCATTCTCAAGTTGCCTGTTGTTGTCTGCTGGATTCCATATTTCTTATGTGCACTGGAAAAACGATCTAATAATAAGTAATAATGTCTTAAATTAAGTGTATTTAGCCTTAAATTGAGTAGGTAAAATGAGATGATTTGCCAATAGAATGAGTAACTTCACTCTTAAAATAAGATATTTAGATAAAATGCACTTGAAATAAGACAATGCAATTGTGTATTTTTTTTTTTTTTTTGAATGTAAATTGTCTTGTTCCACTGGCAAAATGTCTCTTTTATCTCCTCGATTCAAGATCAAATGCACTTATTTTAAGAAAAAAAAAAACTTATCTAGATTTTGATTTTTTTCCAATGTGTCTGTTAGTCCAGCCTCAAACATATGCCTCCTTATGTCCTGCTGCCCATTCTTTAATGAAAGGTACAAGCAAGCATGTCTCTGGGAAATTAAACTTACCTTTTCCCAATCCCCCTTCAGTATATATTCAACAGGGACCGCATACCTACAAAACATACTTGTCGGTTTCTTTAATCATTTAAAATGCTTAGGTGTTTTTTAGTTTTTTTGTTCTAACACTTTGCTTCATTCCACCATATATATATATATATATATATATATATTTGCTAAATTTCATTAATATTCTATCTGTCTTAGGGGCCAGCAGGGGGACTCAGCACAGTCTTATGGTCGCCCTAGAATGAGGGTGGTACTAACAGTATTGTAAATGAGAAAAGTCTTTAACTAAACCCTCTTTAGGACCAAGCAGAGTCAGGAGCGCACATGGCATAGTGTTGCTGCTCCATCAGGTCCGCTGCTTCACCTTCTTCTCTATCATCTCTCCACTCATCTGCGCGTTCAAACTCAACCATTTAAGAAGAGACAAAAAGCCAGAAGAAAAACAGATGATCTTGTTTGTTTATCTATATTTTTGCGCACTCTGCAGTCTGAAATATGTTTCCCGTAGTAAGGAAAAGTTTATGACAACCAGCTGCATCTCATTGAAGTCCCCTCCCTCTTAAATAAACTGCTCTAACCTGGATATAACCCATCGCAGTGTGATCGGAGGATTCCTGCCTCTTTTTCATCCCAGCAGGCGTGATGAGAGGCTGGAGACGCCGGAGGAACTTTTCCTTTCTGCGCTTTGCGCTCCACCTCTGGTATCTCTCCACAGCCCTGGGGAATCTCACAGACCAGGATTTCAGCCGACAGGATGGTAAGTTAGTGGAATATGTGGAATCTATTTATAAACAAAATTAATTTCCTTTATAAGCAATTTTAAGATGAAATATGTTGAGTCAGAGCCATATGTAAACTGAATAAGTAACATTCCCATCCAAAGTTAGGCTGCCAATCAAATCTATTTCGCCCTACAGAATCCCAAATCTTTGCCATGTGAGCATCATTTTCTGGAACATATTCAGTCTGTTCCAGCTAAGCTCAGCCAAGCTGTTTACTTCACAGTAGAGGAAGGCAGGAACGATACAGAGTTTGTTTTTTTGTAGATCAGTCTTTGCGCAACAATAAAAGGAAGTCGGGCTGCTGTCAGATGAACAGATGAGTTTAACATCCAGGAGGATGCAGCTTCATCTCTAGCTTTCAAAACATAAACCAAAACAGGATCTTTTTTTTTCACCATGCTCTAAATTTAATCTGCTGAATTGATAAGACCGTGTATCTTGTGTGAGAGAGGCTGGAGTAGGGCTTTGTGACATAGTGCAAATATTTTCTCTTGAATGTGGTAATAGGAGCAAATATGAAAGATACAGACAGAAAAGAAGATGCTCTATTCACCACCAGACTCAAATAAACAAGAATTTCAGCATCCTGTGGTGATATGGGGTGCTTTGAATAGCAATGAATCCTCTTTGTTTGAGTATAAAACTATCCACTCTGGAAATAATACAAGTTTCCATGATTTTAAACTTCCTCATCTTATTATTCAATCCAATGCAGCTCCTATAGGTTTCTATTCAATTATCTGCATCACTGAAATATTATTACTTCTCCTGTCAAAATGCCACCAGAAGTAAATATGATGCAGCTCAGGAGGTGTTTACTGC